CTTTGTGATGGAAATTCTTTCTAAGGAATATGACAAACTTTAAAACCATCTTTGCATTTTATGATTTACACGCTGTCATGGTTCTATGTTCATTAAGGTTGCTACCACAAGAGACGAATTATGACGTGTGTGCACTCAGCGAGGGAGGAAAGCAATGAGACTCTACCTTGGCATCGTACAGAGTATCAGGCAACCGGTTAAAAATCATTCCTCCAACTGAAGTCTAGCTAGTGTTTTTTCCATATCCTAAGGCAGAGCTCCTTACTACTGACAATAACTTCTACTGCAGCTTCAGCCTCTACATATAAGGAGTTTGAGATAAGAAGAACCCCCAGTCCCCAAGCCTCCCCATCTCCAGTCCATGAAACACAGAAGTTGCAGACCTTGCCATTGTAGTTACAGTCAAAATAAAACCTAGAAACAAAAGCCAAATTACCTGCCAGACAAGGAGAAACACGAGGTAAACCAGTGAAAATAAAAATACTTACATATATTAGCCACACCTCTATGAAACATTCAGAACTAAACAAATTCAATTAGCTGCATTTCTGCCTTATATTTTAATGTTAAGACATAAAATTGAAGTAGACTTTTTGTTGCTGCATGAAAAATTTGACAACATGGGTAAGCTGGAGTATGAGAATCCACAGGAAAATAGCAGTTTAAATTCACCAACCTACCTCTGGGGCTCTGATTACCTTTTTTCCAACTGACAGTGCTGAAACGCACTAATTTATAGCATCCAAATGTTTTGAGAGAGTATATTCAATCATATTAAAACCAGGCCTTATTTTGCTGAAAATACAAGCTGAAGGCAGGTACTCTACAGCTGGAGATACAAGACCATATGCTATTTGCACGTCTGATCTCACTGAAGAAGGAACTGGAGAAACTGTACCAGATTACTATGGACAGATGTCATGAGCAAGAATAATTCACGGGAAGTGTTCTGTACAGCACATTTCTGCTCAAGAAGACAGCAGCAGTAACCAACTTCTCTTCCCATTTCAGAATACATTTGAGGTGCTTTAATCTCTGGCTTCTGCTAGATACTAGAAGCTACTGCGATTTTAGCAATCAGACCTGTTCTTCAGTAACAACCATGAAATTTTACTCCATCTCCTACCTTGCTTTCATGCACTTAAAAATACAGATTTATACCAAATATAAATATATATATAAGTATATAGATTTACATATAGTTTTAATTAAACCAGTTATCTTGTATTTGCAAATCTGATCAACCGCTTCATAATTAAGTAGGGCCACTGTAAGGATTTCCCCCACTTGTTGCTCTCGCACCCCTTTCCAGCGCACAGCACAGCTGGGTGCTCTTAATCCTTCTGCAAAACAGGCCTTGCCAGCAGAGCAAGGAATATACTGTTTCAGTTCAGGGTGTCTTGATTGCTGCCAGTTCCAATATTTGACTTAGGAAACTAAAATGACCACCCAAGACAAGCTTTGTGTGTACTTAAGGAATTGGTGAAAAGTTTAACCCTTTGATGCATTCCCTTTTCATGTCTGCCTAGTATGAAACAGCATGAGTCCAGATTTGATCAGGGCCTGAGCAAGTCCTGAGGTGAAATGAAGAGAAAAACATTTCTCAAATAAAAGTGACATTACCATATATATGAATAAGTTTCAGACGAAATAAGATTTTTCAATTATTCCTCAAAGTTTGGTTGCTGTGGGTGCAAAGAAAGTGCTGTGGAGGACAAAGTGAAGAATAAAACCCAACTTCTTCTGGTTTCTTAAGATATTTTAGAACTTAATTATAAGATTGTAAATTTTGTTGCTAGTACTTGACAATCTGTAGGAGACAATTACTGAAATAATTGAGCAAAAAGAATAAAAATACAATCCTTAACTTTCTAACTGTATTCTGAAAGTGTATTTGGAGTTTTGGCTTTATAGTGATGAAATGATTCTTTGGTACAAACACCTTCACATAACTTAATTCATGGACTTGAGAAATACATGGATCATTTGCCCTGTGGACAACCACAGGGCTCTGGAACTAACTGGGAACAATTCTTACGTGGATCTCGCTAACCAGCATATACAACCAGAATACCTTAAAGGACTCAGAAAGCAGAAATAATCTTTTCCACTTCTTTCATGTATCACTCTAATTTAGCAGAGCCCTAGTAAAGCACAATAGATACGAGCAAAGGCAATTACTTTCAGGAATTTTAATAGACTTCATGCGTTCCGCCATTTTTAGGCGCTAAAACCTAGACAAGTTTACAGAACTATTTCTCTAACAACTACTCAAACGTATCTAACTCTATGCCTTTATTAGTCCCTGCCACAGCATCTTATTATGATTTCCTAGAAACAAGGTCTCTTGCAGTTTCATCTGCAAAACAGGGTGTGATGTTGCAGAATCACAGCTTGCTCCGTAGTTCTGCTTACGGGAAACGAGGTGTCATCCACCTAAAAATAATGGTACTTCTCAGGCACATCACATCTTCACTCCTCAAAGCACAATTCCACTGATCATTCACATATGTTGGAAGCTGACAAAGATCATCATGGAAATTGTATTTGCCTGATACTCAAAAGGAAGAGACGAGGCAGGCTTTGAGACATTTAACTCAATCCAAGCCAGAATAGCCTTCATCCAACAACAAGCCCCTGGAGCCTGCAAGATGAATCCAGTGTTTACTACTATCTCCTCTAAAGAACCATAAAGGCAGGTTAGACCAGGACTACTATTACCCCTGGTATCAGCATGGGTTCTGCCCTGAAGGTTTCCTGGCATGATCACTGCCTTCCCCTTGGTGCCAGACCTGCTGTCTGCTGCTTTTCCTGCACATACTGGCAGAGTGTGCAGACCCCTCCACAGCTCTGTCGAGCAGACAGGAACATGACTGAAAGTTGCTAAATTAATTGATTTTGCCAGACAGTAACCTCATCACATGAGTTTCTCCTACACAGAAGTGAAAGGCTTAACAGGTAGAAAACACAAAGCCCACAGAGGATACTGAAAAGATACTAGAGTTTAAATCCCAAAAAAGAGTGGAAGAATATCTCTGCAACTACTTCATCCCCTGCCAGGCCCTTCCCTCCCTCTCTGCAGGACTGTGCTGCATCCCACTCTCACTACAGGCTTCCTTCTCCTGTGCATACCCTGTTAAACATGCTTCAGTCTAATTAATTATCCTGCTGATAGGAAACTACAGAAGGATCCTAGTCCTCCAGGTACATGCAGATTCATTAACACATTTAAAGACCAAACACCCTCTTTCCAAAAGAAAAAAAAAAAGAAAAACAAACCACTAAAACAAACCCCACACCACCACAAACCAACCAAAAAAAAAAAGCAGAAAACTTGCTCAGTGGAACATGTTTCACATGAGAATTGGAATTTCAGACTTCAACCTGTTAATTCAGGTAAGAAATATGCTTCCGGAATACCGCTAGTGCCCAATTATTGACCTAATTGGTTAATAAATTGAAATAGTTAAGCTGTTCAGAGACCAAAATCAGCACAAAACTTAATATAAAACTTCATACATTAAAATATTCATATACCAAACATTTTATAAGACAATCACAATTAAGATTCCTAATCCAACTTCTTTTGCTGAGACAACAGTTTCATGAACTGCCATAGTGAAAATCTAATGACGCATGGAAATATGCCTCGAAAACATCAAACAAGCAGAACCGTCACAGGAGATGCCTTCGAATTTGGGCACCAGCTTTCCATTTCCACGCAGGCAGATACAAAAACAGTAGCTAAACTAGTCTGCACTAACTCTGCATCTTTTGAGAGGAAAATAGTAACGTAACTGCCACTATCATTAAATGTGCAGAGGAAAACACACAAGGACCAAAGACAGTTTTCTGCATAAAACACAGAATTCTAAATGAATCCACAACTAATTAAAAGATACTAAAATAGTTAATAGCTCACATTTGGGTTTTTTTAGGTTTTTATACTCTGTGATAATACATAAGCTCCTTTTTAACTACAAATGAGGTTGAATAAAGAATGTTTGGAATATCCTAGGATTTGGCAATGCTGGACTTTAAATACAGGTATGGGATTTGTGGGTGAGGGAGACCAGTCCCAGGACAGCAGCCTAGTGTAGGACTCTAAACCTTCCCCTCTGTTCACAAGGCACAGCTTAAGAAGCTTGAGCTGTGTCAAATCGCAAATTTCATTTTGAAGCTCCTCTGTATAAAGCACATTCTGGTTTTATGCCCTATTGCTGTAAAATACAAATCTGTGTTCAATGCAAAAGCCTTATGTTTTCATGTCACATTGTATAAAGAAGAAAAATGAGGTTATAAACCTACATATGCACTATCCTATACACAGGCTTCCTATTATATTTCCAGTCTCCGTAGTAAAGATGCATTTTCATTTTACATTTGAAAGCTCTTCTTGGAAAATTTCAGACACAAAAATACATAAATTAAAATTACCTAGCAGTCACTTTAAGACCTTTAAACCTCTATGATTACCATCTTATTAATAAAAAAAGGTAATTATTTAGTGTCCCAAAAAAAGCCCAAGATCAGAAGTACAAATGTACACTAAATAAATATAACACTGTCGTCAAATTTATAATTAATATATTTACAATGTTAAGTATAATACACACTTAAAAGAGCAGTGCCAAAACTGACCCACATTTGGCTATTCTGTAGTAATATTAACTTTCAGTGGCAAAATTTATCAAAATAATACTCTCCAATTAAAATAACCCTGTTGGTATCAGCTGTGAAGAACAGCAGCACTCCACATACTATATAAATGTGTTTATGACTCCAAAATTACATAATTTGCAGCTGTCCATTTCAGTCTTAATGCAGGTGTTTTTTTTTTTGGAAGCAGAAGGAATCCCATACAAATTTAGTCAGCATACTGCTGGTGCTTAAATTATTCTTAGAGAGCCTTTATCATGTAAGATTACACTTCTTTGTAATAGCTTGGAGTAGCATAAGGATTAGATTGATAAAGTAATATATATACACATATATATTACCTGTTCTTGCCTCTCCAGCCACTTGTCCACCATGGGATGACTGGCACTTAACGATGAACGAGCATTGTCTCTCTGAAACTGGTTAGACCAGCTACTAGTATCTCGTGGTAGGCTTCTGTAGTTTTCATCTTTCTAGTTTAAAAGAAACAAAAAAGTGTCTTATAAAAAACAACCAGTCCTTGCACATTAACAATGCAGCTGGTTATTATACGAATACAGACGACGACTGACAAAGGAGAACACAGGTCCCGCTGGACCCAAGGACAACGTGATCACCCAGCCATTCCATTGCAAGAGCTCCCCTTCCTTAGCACCACTGAAGCCCAAGCAAAGCCTTCCATGGGTTTGTAGCTTCTGCACCCACTTATGCTTCACTACCTCTCTCTTCCAACTTCAGACCTCTAGTGAACAGACTTCGCACAAACACACTCAGCAAGGCTTCAGAGCATCATGACCCTGAGCTTCTTTCTCACCAAAAGCAAATATACCGTGCAACAGTCATCCAGTGACAGCAAAGGACACAATATAATTTTCCCAAGTCTCTTTCTGTAATGAATTTTACAAATCAAAGCTGTCTCAATGCTCCAGGTACTGTCCTTTAGACCAGAAGAGCATGCTACAGAGTTCAAAACCTGAATTTATTATGCCACATAATGATGCTTTGCATGGTTTGCCTGAAGGTATACAAATACAGTCACATTTGTAAAACAGCAGCAGATGGAGGTTGTGCTGCTGGAGATACATTTATCCCACAGAGACTGATAAAAAAACACATTTTTTTTTTTCCTTTTAATTGATGAGTTTGTCTTCACATCTTTCCTACAAGCTGTACAAATTCTTCAGCTTCTAAAGATGATTAGTCCTTACCCAGTCTGATCACTGAAAGCCAATAAAAACAGAGGCAGATCCTTAACAATGAAAGTTACCCTTAGCCCGAGTCAAGGAATTACTGAGAGCTCACACAGGTCAGTTCCCTCCAACTGAAATAATATATGGCACTGAAATTCTGCTTAGCTTTTCGAAAAGAGGATTATAAATATGCTCAAGTATCCTTCATTCTGGAGCAGAGTATTTTCAAGTCAATTTTTGTCTATCCTCACGCCAAATCATATAATTTACAGAGTATCTATTTTTCTTATAGTCATTTCTTAGCAAATAAAGTAAGACTGTAGTCATACATATTTTGCAATCCTACCGCTTTCAGGAATCTTGAAAATCTCTAAGAAAATAAACAAACACCAGCAGACATTAGCAGCTAGTAACTGGTTTTTTGTTTACAGCACACAGCAAATTTTTGACCCTTTCTTAAATCAATACTTGATTCCATCAGCATGAGTATTTCCTTTATTTACTGCATTGATATTTCTTTGTCTTGGCACAGTATTAGTCCAATAATCTAAAATATGGAGTGTAGCATCAATTCCCTTACAATTGTCTTTCACAACTTTTTCTCATGTAGAAGTATGACAGATTTTGCTAGGAAATCCAGGTTTCAGGATAACTGTGATATGCAGCACAGTTTTCAAAAGCTTCCTGTGCAAGAGCCGTCTTTTGCCAGGCATATCAAACTTAAGCTTTCTTAATTGATGACATCCTTTCATGAAAGAGACTTTGTAGTAAAAAACAAGTTTTCCATTTCAAGACATTAAAGTTGGAATTCAAGCAGCACAAGATAGCCTTGTAAAAATATGTCTCTACAAGTACCCAGCCAAACAAATCATCATAAATTACTTTACTCTGCCACAAACAGGTAAGAACTTTGAGTCTTTCAGCAACTAAAAAAATAAAGTTTTCCTGCATGGTTAACCACACAGTAAACTAGTAACTTGCTCAGTTTCTTGCTTATAAAGGGACAGTGGAAGTCAGTGGCTGCTTTGTACCACTGTCCCTTAGCAGAGCCATAAAAGCCTGGGAATAGCATGTGCAAATCGATTTTTTCCTGTTGATTCTCTTATTCAGTTCTTCTCTTCTGGTGACAGAGGTGGCATAGTTCATATAAGCCAAAACAACAATTTCTCTTGTTCAAAGTGGTGGAGAGGTATAACAACAAAATCAGAATCTGACAAAGAAACAACGAAAGATCATTTTATGCACAAAACCCCCCATGCAGTTGGTGCATGTGTTATTGTCCTCTAACAATAACTCACTGCCTGAAGACCAACACCACATCTGAAGGAGCAGAAATTTCTTTCTATGTAACGATGTTTTCTGTATTTCTGTCTTTTATAGATAATTCCATTTTTATTGATTCGTGTTTACAATCTTCAATATAAACTTTAAAAAAAAGACATTTTCATCTATGCTACACAAAAAAAGACTCTCTGCACAGCATCCGTTACCTGTGCACAGGATTTTTGCTTTTGCAAGAGCAAGAGAGAAGGAAAAGAAGTACATGAAGGGATGTGCTATTTTCCAATCATTCCAACGCCAAGTCTCTGATCTGAATCATGCAGGACAGTCTTAGTGCTTCGAATTTATATTGGAACTTCACTCCATAAAAAGTCTTAAATGCCAAAACACACCATATAAGTTAAATTACCTAAGATAAGAGACTTCAATCAGGCCTCTTGGTGCATCTATCTTTATCTGAAGAATTCTGCGAGGAGTTTACCCTTCATACTACCTGTGCTGGCCAGAAAGTATATTCATCCAATCTGCTACTGAAATATTTCTGCTGTAGCCCATTTCTGTAGAAGATTGTCTTGCTCCTGCTAAGACTTTCTATAAAAGGCATCAAAATCATTCAGCAATTTTTCTGAGAGCAGAAGTAAGAGCTGGAATGGCAGAGATGTGGTTCCAGTAACTTCTTGTGTTTCAGTGCTGCTCAGAGGCTCAAATAATGCTATTACCAGAGTGGAATAAAATACCTCACCAGTGTTGCAATCATAGAATCACAGGATGGTTTGGGTTGGAAGGGACCTTAAAGATCATCTAGTTCCAACCCCCCTGACATGGGCAGGGACATCTTCCACTAGACCAGGTTGCTCAAAGCCTCATCCAGCCTGGCCTTGAAGACAGCCAGGGATGGGGCATCCACAACATCTCTGGGCAACCTGTGCCAGTGCCTCACCACCCTCTCTGTGAAGAATTTCTTCCTGATATCTAACCCAACCCTCCCTGTTTTCAATTTGTACCCATTACCCCTCGTCCTATCACTACAGGCTCTTGTAAAAAGTCCTCTCCCGGCACCCTTGTAGCCCCTTCAGATACTGGAATCACACGCAAAGTCATGTTGGTGTTAACCAAACAGTGAAACACTGAAAAAACAACCAGCCACAGATAAGTCCTCCACTCCTTTCTTTGTCACTGATTTTTGTCAAACCGCTATCCCTGTACCCCACTGGCAACAGCATGGGGGCGAGCACTAAGCTAGACCAGGAGGAGAGAAACCAGCGCTTCAAACGCTGCTGGACGTGGTCCTTCTCAGACAGCTACATAAGACAACCCTAAGCTGCAGCTGGCTACCTGGAACCCCATCTGCACAGGCATCTCCATTACTGCTACTGCCACATCGAATCATAGAATCATAGAACGGTTTGGGTTGGAAGGGACCCCAAAGATCATCTAGTTCCAACCCCCCTGCCATGGGCAGGGACACCTTCCACTAGACCAGGTTGCTCAAAGCCACATCCAGCCTGGCCTTGAACACTTCCAGGGATGGGGCATCCACAACATCTCTGGGAAACCTGTTCCAGTGCCTCACCACCCTCTTCGTGAAGAACAACTTCCTGATATCTAATCTAAACCTCCCTGCTTTCAATTTAATCATAGAATCATCGAAGTCACAGACAGCAGTGGTTATAAACTGTAGAGATATTGGTGAAAAAAAGACATCACTGCAGCTTAAACTTTGGGATTTACCAAACCAGCTGCAATCTTGTGTGCTATTTAAAATATATATATTGGGTTGTTGAGTTGTTTATTTTTTTTAATAATATGAAGATGTTAACCCAGAAAGCTTTAGTTCTATTCAACATGATCTAGCATTAGCACAGATGCTTCCAATATCTGACTGGAAAAGGTGCGTGTCGCTTTTAACTTCAATACTATAAAGAAAAAGATTTCATGGTATAGAAGCCATCAGGGTCACACAGGGAATTCTCATTTCTTCTGGAGCTGCAGCTGTAAGCCCTACTGGGACAGAGGCTGACACGCACCATCAATTACAATTAAATGCTCTAATTATAAAAAAAAAAAAAATTTCCTTCCCAAACACCTTTGGGGACCACAGGCCATGTCAGCTTTATCATGTTGGAAATGGAAATTGATCAATGTAACACTAGAACGCCAAGTCACAATATTACCACTACACTTAGCAGCATTTTGCAGTATCTTTAATGAGGACACGTATTCTACCACCTTAAGATTTAGTTCAGCGTAGTGTCCCTGCACAGCTTTACTGGAGGGCTGGGTGAAAGGGGACAGGAAAAATGAACCAATTTCGCTATACTTTTAATTTCAGATGATTTGCAATATATAACAAGCTCCTCATCAAAGGCTGTGAAGCTTGTAGAAGAAATAATGCATTAGCATGATCTGTGTACTTCAATTACTGGCTGTCATTGCATAACTCACTCATGATTTTAACATGCAGTTGTATCCCAACAGACTCCCAGCATCACGAACGCTACCTGAAAGCCTGCCACACAGTACACTGGCGCTTCTGTGTCTGATGACTCATCTGCCACTGGGCCACTTTGCAATCCACTCCCAATCCAGTCTCTGCCCAGCCTGTACTTGTATGTGGGATTGCCCCGACCCATGTGCAGGACCTTGCACTTGGCCTTGTTGAACTCCATGAGGTTGGCAGTGGCCCACCTCTCCAGCCTGTCCAGGTCCCTCTGGATGGCATCCCTTCCCTCCAGCGTGTTGAACGCACCACTTGGTGTCATCGGCAAACTTGGTGACGGTGCCCTCAATCCCACTGTCCATGTCACTGACAAAGATGTTAAACAGCACAGGTCCCAACACCGACCCCTGAGGAACGCCACTTGTCACTGGTCTCCACTCAGACATTGAGCCGTTGACCACCACTCTCTGAGTGTGACCATCCAGCCAGTTCTTTAT